CGTGTCTCCGGTGTCTCCTGTTCACCGGCACATAATGCCTCTTACAAACGAGCCTGATGAATATTAAATCGAGACAGGTTTCAGCTTCCTTCCGCGCTGCCAGGTTGGAGAAGGCGTTGGAGATGGTCAGGGACACCAGCTCTTAATTAAGTGTGACCCGGCGAGCTGTCTTACCCCTGCCATAGCCTGCTCTATGCACTGCACCTTCGCTGATGGTCGCGGTGCCTTCCCAAGGATTGTCTTCCCTTACAGTCGTCCTTTGGCTCTGTTATTCCCTTACCTTGTCTCACAGAGACTTGGGCTGTTTAACATCAGTTGAAACACAGGGTGAAAAGTCAAGCTGTATGAAAAGAAAAAAACCCAAACAAATCCCCTAAAATCGTGTCCCCAAAAAAGCCCCGAGTCCCAGAACGAACACCTATGAAATCAGCAAGGCAGGCAAGGCGGCATGCATGGGTGGAGATGTTTCGCATTAGCTGTTACCAGCCTTCTAGTAAGTAGCACTGTCAGGTCAGTGGATTTGTGCAAATTGAATTACTCGTCTTCCTGAGGGAGAGTGGACATCACAGGCTTTGGCATTTGGGGTCATGAACTCTTGTAAGGATACCCAAGTCCACCAGATTAAAAGATGCTGAAGAGTCTGGTCTCCCGGTTACTTTTTGCTTTTCTTTTTGCTCTCCTTGATGAAGGTTTATGTTATTGCATCATCTAATACTAGTTGTGTGAGCTCTGCTAGCTTACCTGCAGGTGTAGTGGCACACCCCATCCTTAACTGTCATTTATCTGTCCTGGCATTTGGGATGTGGACTGATGTTGCGGTGTGCTCCGTGTTGTGCTTACACTGTCAAAGCGTGCCCGGCTCTCTCTCCGTCTCTGTCCAAAGGGTGAGATAAGAGAGTGGTGTAAAGAAGGTAAACAAGGAGCAGCAGTTTCAGATGCTGACTTCCTGGCAGGCAAGGTTTGTACGGGTGCTATAAAGCCAAGAAGAATTCAAAGAGGGGATCTGAAAGTAACAGGAAGTTACTTTACAGTGTTCACCGAGCACCTTAAGAGCATTACCTGGTGTGGCAAAAGCACAAGGGTGACTGGCCTTCGTGTCTAACAGCTGCCAGAATAGAAGCCAAAGTAAATATCTCTGCAGCATGAGGTTAAGACAAGTGCTGAGTCTTTCAACACCCATGTGACGTGTTGGAGAGGGACAAGCCTGTGGAAAAAATGAGGTGGCAACCTCACCAAAGCTGTGCACTGCAAGGATGATCTTTGTAACATCTTCTTGAATTGGAAAAGAAGATCGGATTTGTAAAGGAAGATCAAAAGTGTAGAGCCTTGAACAGGAGATACTCTATCATTTGAGTTATAAAGAGAGCCTAGCTGGCAATTCTAGAATAGATCTGCATTGCCGCAGTTTTGGCAATAAAGAAATAAATATAAATTTGGCAATAGATAAGTACAATTTACTATTGCTGAACTTTCTGCTTGCAGCTGGGAGAGCTGGCTTTTATTGATCATGTGCATGTAGAAATTAAAAGGACAAATGTTACAGTGATGACTAAAACCCACATCCGGGTTTGTCGATTAGGTAACAACAAAACAACAGCTGATATGTATTACTTTTTTTTTGATAATTTAGGGCCCTGAACCAGATTACTAAGGAAACAAGATTCATCATTCCTTGGTGAATCCTTACTGTCTTGAACAACTGCATTTGCCTGAAACTTGGTACTAGTACCAGCTATATGGAGGTGTTTACTGTAGGTAGAGTAAATGGCGTGTGGGAATTGAAGCCTGCCTTTTCAACTTTAAATGGTATCTATGGCTTTTTTCTAAGTTAAAATAGTTGAAGCATTTGAGTTAAATGAGCCAAAATCAGACTGTGCCTGTAGAGGAGCTCTAAGGAGAGGCTCAAGTTGCTTGCTGTTGTTAATCACAGTAATATTTGTGATGCCGTGCTGCAAGATACAGCCTTCTTCAGCACTGTGACTAAACATGAAAAATGTCATCATTGTGTGGTGCCAAGAAAGGAGTGTGAAATGTTCATAAAAGGCTGATTCTGTGCTGCACTTTGCTCCAAAAACCACAGAACTGAGTTGCAGTAAGTGGTGCCCGCTCTTACAGCGGCAGCAAGGTGTGCTCCCCGTGCTGAGGTTGCCTCGCTGTTTTTAGCATTCATGTTTTTGCAGCTTTGCTCCCCTGCTCCTGCCATGTTCCCAACACTGGTATGCAGCAGAGTGCACCGGGCCCCAGACAGACAGTTCTGTCTTTCTACATGAAAATGTAATTTGGCATGAAAATCTTAACGCTTTCCGCTGAATTACCCCATTGAGAACTTGCTGCTTCGTTCTGCTCTGCTCTTCCAGGAAAATGCCCAAAATGTGCCATGGTAGCTACAGAAATGCTAAGGGAAGCTGAAATGACTTGCAGTTTTGAGAAGCAGTGGCATGAGGGCTAAGGATGATGAATGTGTGCACTCCCTCCCCGCTTTGTAGAGCTCAGCACGTGATCTTTACCTTCCCTCCCTCTTCTCTATGGGCACAGGAAAAATCTGTGCCTGGAATGAAGGAAGCTGTTCTGTTCCCCAGAGCCCTCTCCTGTCCTAGCATGCCTACTGGCTTTGCCAGCTAAACCGAGCCTGTTTGTGTGGCACAGCTGATTCGTGTAATCTGGTGTAAGAGATGGGAACGGTGATGCTGTGCTTGCAACAATTAAGGGATGTCTTTAACCTATGTGGTAAAATACGTTTTCATTAATAATTTTGAATCGTAGTCCGTGGAGACTGTTAAGTTTGCATAGGCAAGAAGTTGAAAACTGGAATCTGCCCCTTTTATGCAGCCTGAATTCTGTGTACACGCATCTCGCCCCTTATGCTATGGTTTCCAATTACACAAGCTCGTGCATATTTAAAAACCTTCACGGTACATTAAAAACATGTGGTTGGCATTTCCTGCCTTCTGTGTCCTTCTCTGCGTGACAGAAGTGTTTTCAGAAGAGTTTTATGCATTTGATGCAGCAGTGTCTAAAAGCTCCACCAAGGTGAAGGCTCTAGTTTGATAGCTACAATCCAAAACCTTACTGACATTCTTTGGCTGCAGGAGTTACTAACATAAAGAATTACTGATTGGCCTTTGAATTAGAAGTATATTTTTTTTAATGCTTTTGACCCAAAGACTGCATTGTAGTATTCAGCAGCTGGAAGAACAAAACCAGACATTGTATTGCTCTTTCTATATGTCCTTAGCCACAAAACTGAGTGTTGTTCTTTTAGCACGGTCCTGTGTACTAATCGTGCTTGCTGATGAAAACCCACAGGAACAGATTCCTTGATGCATCTTTCTAAAGCTTGAGCCTGGCCGCTGCGTTACCCTCGTGCAATTCTAGTGCTAGAGGTGTCTGTCTAAGTTTGCATAGAGATGGCTACAGCCTATGAATTGCTTAATTAATTTCACTAGCTATTCCAAAACCAATGGTAGTTTGAAATGTAACACTTAGGTGCTCAGCAAATTATTTAGAGAAAAGTGTCCTGCTGGGAAACTCCCACATAACGCAGTGCTCTTCTGGAACAGTTATTTTTAATACCACCTCTCCATGCTGACGGGAAGGCACTTACCTTTTGGTTGTTTTTCATGATGAAACCAGTTTTTGTGTATCTGCAAACAGTAATGTTTCAGTCCTATCTTTTATCTGCAGCCATGCTCTTGCAAATGTCCACTATATACACTAATCAGTCTAAACTGTTTTAAATATCTCACTAAGTTTTTTAAGGGGGAACTTTTCCAGTTCCAGAAGTGTGTACTTGAGATAATGATTTTTATTTTTTTTTTTTACTTCGTTATAGCAACTTACAAATGGAGATAGAGGCTTTGAGAATGTGGAGCTGGGTGTCATAGGAAAGAAGAAGAAAATTCCAAGGAGGGTTATTCACTTTGCAAGTGGAGAAACAATGGAAGAATATAGCACAGATGAAGAGGAAGATGAACAAGAGAAAAAAGACCTATTGCCACCTGTAGATCCTGTAGGTATTTTACTTGATAAATCACTACGTCAGGTTTACTGGGTAACTGCCCACATTTTGTACTTTAATTTTTGTGTCACAAATCTGATGTAGTATTAAAGAGTCCCTTACTTTGATTTGCTCTAGGCACTGAGAAATCTGTGAGAAGTATTCCTGAGAAGTTTTGTCTTGGAGTCATCCTCCTTTAAAGTAGCCCTGTTACTTAGAAATGGGTTTCATTTCTTCATGGTTCTAGTCTGTCCTCTCCAGTAATTCTTCCTCTAATAATATTTGCTTGGCCTCTCCTTGATTTGTACAGTTGTCTAAAAAACGTGCAAGGAAGGCATTTGTTTCCTTATGCTTGGTGACAGTGGAGAGCTGAACCTCTAATCTGGTGTTACCATACTGGCAATTTGATACCATTAAAAGAGTTAGAAGGGAAAGAAACATGACTTGTGGAAATAAAGGAAAACTGGCATAATTCATGATGCATCAAGAATAGCTTTTAAAGGATCTGCCTAGTCTGTGTATGTAATTTTCATCTGCCTTGTAAGCTGTTAAGGTGTTGCTCAACCTGTGAATGGATTCTCCATTTATTGGTCCAAATTCAGGTGAGGTTTTGACAATTAAAGCTATCTCCTGTAGCGTGTATTGTAGCTGTTAAAATACATTTTCCTTTTTGTCAGTGATTCTGGGCCTGTACTTAGAGGTAAAATGACATACATAATCAGTTTTAGTCTGTTGGTCTGTCTGATGATCTATTCCGTGGTGATGGTGTATTTGCAAAGCGTTTAGCCATGCGTGCCAGCACTGGCAGCAGCAGCTCCCTGCCCTCTGGCAGCCAGTCCCAGAGACGATCTGCATCTTTCTCTTCATCTCTGCACATCCCTAGTCTCATGTTTCTTTTATGACACCCCACCAACTGGTGTCCCAAACATCTCTACCCTCCTACAACAATTCTTACCCCCATGAATTGGGTCTGTAGTGCTACTCCTTGCCTGCCAGTGGGGCTCCTGCCTGGTCCCTCTCTGGGCTTGGTTGTCCGTATTGAGCTAGAGGCTGGATCCTTTCCAATGTGCTGGAGTGCAGTCAGGCAGCCAGGAGTCATTGCTTTGTGCAGTGACTAGTCCTGCCTGCTGGCACACTGGAGGCAAATACCGGTGTGGGCCTGCTTGTTTCCACGCTTCAGATGAGAGCCGTTGCATGCACTGAAACCGGTGTCCGGTTGTCTACTTGACGTTGCTGTTGAAGTGATTTCTGTGCCGTCGTTTGGGAATCCATAATTAAGAAGTGTGGTAGAAGCTTTCTGTTTACTGTACAGTAGTAGGCCCTGTATTTATGTATGTCCATCTTGGGAGAGCTTGGCTTTGTTGAAGGGACTGCAGTGCAGAGTGATGGTGAACTATAAGGAGTTGCTTTGGGAAGGGCTGTCAATCAGTTCCTCTTTCTTCCCCTCTGTAAAATGAATTTACCTTGAAGAGAGGAAAAAAAAACCAACCAAAAAGTGGTTTGAGGGCTGCACTGCAGTGAGACTGTGGGAATTCAGCTGTGGGAATTCAGCTGGGGTTGGGGTTCCTAGTGATCCATGGGTGGAGCTGTGTATTTCATCTTAGAGGGATTGATGGTACCGCTGTCTCTTTCTTGCTAGGCAGTTCTTGTGTACAACAGAGAGTAATATTAGCCTGCACGCAGGTAGGATATTATCAGTATAAAGTACACCTGAAGTTTATAGATTGAAAATAAATGTATTATACTCACAAACAATGAGTAGATGTTAAGCTGCCTTGCTGGGTGTTGGTTTTGTTTTTCTTTTCCTCCCTAAGGGCCTACTCGAAGAAGTGAAAGAACTGTGAAACTTACTGAATGTCCAGGTATCATCAGGGCCAGATCTGTTCCCAGCTATGCAGGTCATGTCAGATATCCATGCGTTTTTTTTTTCCCCCAACTATGATTAGCAGGGGACCAGACCTGTATAATTCTTCGTGCCATTTCCTCTTGGTACAAGAGTTCCACTGTGGTGCAGTGGTGGGAGGCTCACAAGCCTTGACTTACGTGTTGTGAGGCAAGAGACGTGCTGTACAAGTGGACACTTAAGTGAAGAGCCCTCAAACGTGCACAACAGCCAGGAATGCTGTGTGATCCTTCTCCTGCTTGCCTAATAAGGATTTTTATGTTTTTGTTCAGAATACCGAAGAGTATATTGTATGGCACAGTTAAGATTGCTTTATTCTCCTTTTATACTTTATGAAATCCTTAATTTTTATTACGCTTTTTAAAAAAAGGACCCCCAAACCCAGAATAGTTTATTGTGGAGCACAGTATGCCTTATTATGTATTGCTTTGTAACCTGACAGAATAAACTTGATTAGACCAAGGGCTGCTATTAAGTGAAGTTTACCTTATCTGCTGCATGCTTCGTGTATCCCAGCTGAGCCACTCAATGAAGAAATGTTAGTCCAAGCTGAGCCTTGATGTTTTAGCCAACTGCTGCCTTAAAAATGTTCTTATTGTAGGATTTCTGTGAAAGCAATTAAACAGTCAGTTTGCTGAGACCAGCACGTCTAAAACTTGTTATCTCAGTTGGGATACGAAAAAGTACGTTGCAAGTAATAGCTCTTTCTGGTCCAATTTATTTTTAGAGAAAGCTCATTTAATATTTTGAATAGAAACTTTGCATCATGAAATTTCAAAGCTCAGCTGGTATTGGCATCCTGGCAGCTTCTGAATGAGTTTAAGGGAAACAAATAGTTTGCCACATTGTAAAGAATGTCTTCAGTAAGTACCTTGGTTTAATTAAGCTGACAGGGACAGTGTCTTTCTTCCTAAGCAAAGTAACGTGTATGTATCCTGGTAATACGATAACCAAAGCACTCAGTGTGATGGACTGCTGCCACTCAGAACAAGGTAAGTTCTCCAAAAGTACTAGGTCTTAAATTTTGCTTTGAAACAACGATTCTGGTACTTGTATAGGTCAGCACTCAGTTCACTAAGATTCTTGGAGTGGAGTGGCCACTCTGTTATGTTTTGGTTTGTCTTTTTTTAAGAATGAGTTGAATCTAGAGCACATGGTATGCTTAATAAATTTCTTGTTTTTTTAGATGATAGCACTCTGTATTATCTGAGTGTTCTCAAATAAAAAATTAAATGTTTTAGTAACATAAATGCTTTCATTGTAACTGAGTCTTCTATTCTGTCCTAAAATTTAGATGCTTACACATTATATGCAAATCTCCATTTGCTTCTGTCCACCAAAACTTTATTTTGTAGTAATTAAATTTCTTTAACATGTTTTAGAAGATATTCTTTCTCTTTATCCCTGGAGTGCCACTTGCTATAAACTCTTTGTTTCATTCACCTATTACATGAGGAGGCAGAAGGTGGAGTGTGTAAGTCTTTGCAGAGCAACTGTAAGCAAGGTAGCTGTTGGTGATAACCTTAGAATTCATCCCGAGTACACCTCTGCAACAAAGCTCCAGAAGAGATTTAGTTTTATTGACCTTCAGTGCTCAGAAAGATCGAATCACGTTCTTGAAGGAAGATTATCTTGATGTCCTGTGGTTAAAAGGAGCTTAACTTTAAGTAGCAAAAAGTCTTCTCTAGAGGATGTAAACTCTAATTTTCTTTTAAGAATTTGGGGATGAGAGAGAAACATAGTCACCGGCCAAGTAGTAGCAACTCGTGATATACTAGGAGCTTCATGATGGAGGATGGTGTGTGTGTTTCAGGTCTTGGTTTCATTGGCCTGTCTTAGATGGTGCACACGCTGAAGGACCTGTTATAGCAATGATCACTCAATAATTAAACTAATTTAAAAAGCATCTTGGCACAGTGAACAATATAAAAGTATCTATTGGGTGATGCATATTAACTCTTAAATATGGGATTTGATTTTTCTTGAATCGGAAAATTACTTTTTTCTTCTTTTTGCCATTTTTCCTGGCAGAAAAAAACCCTATGTTCTTTGGAAAGTTCAAGTGTTATTAGGGACTGAAATCTGGCAAAAACAAATATAGATGTGGATTCTTTAGGAACATGGAGCACTCGGAAGTTCAAGGGCCATGTTTGCTCCCTTCAGCAGCCCCATACTAGGGAACAAAATCATGTTTAGTTGTTGAACCACAGCCCTCTTGGTTTTATCAATGGTTGAATCCATTATGTTCATTCCCACTTAAAATGTAGTAGATGGAATAAAATTGTATGTTGGGAATTTTTGTAATTTAAAAAACAGTTGTCATAATCATTGTGTTTTCAATTTTAGACAACAAAGTCAAGTCAGGATAGCTGAATAGTATAATCAGGCATTGTAGAAATGTATACTGAAGAGACTGATGGCAGGAGAAATACTGTGCCCTTACAATAAACCAGTGTCCTGAGTTCCATACTGCTGCTCCTTGTTTCCAGCCAAGAAATACAGTATTACAGTGTCCTTGCATTGATTAAAGACTGAATGTTAAGGCTTCTCTGGCCAGAGGAGGTTGACATACAGAATCTGGGCATGTCGTTCTTACTCAACACTAGTAGGGCCTGACTTGGGTACTGTTTTCCAGTATCACTCAATGTATTAAAGCTACTTCATGGAGTAGGATTAGTTTATACTGAGCTGTTGCCTAACAGGCCTGTTCATATCACTCAAACAGTTTGGTTTTCTGCAGTACGTCTTCTTGCCCCA